ATTCTACTGTAGTCATTCTATTTTGGCTATTCGTCTTTTATGTAATGGAAAATAATTGCACATACTTCTTAATTCTAACTCGTTCCCTGTTTAAAATGCAATGATGGAAGCCACTCAGTCACTATATGATGCTGAATTTCACAGGATTCTGTCAAAGCCAAATCAGTGATTTTAACTACATCTAACTTAAATGGGACAGGCTCCATGGAAGTACTTCGTTTCAGCTCTTGGCATATACTATATTGCGGCTTATTTTTTAATGGGGCTTCACTTCTTGCCCAATTAGGCGTCCAAGATGGTGTGTAAATGTAGCTTCTGCCCTGGGAGCAGTTTCCTCATAAATGCCAGAATGGCCATTATCAGAAGTCCTTTGTGAGTGAAAACAGACAGCTATAATGTAGACTCAGCCTTAATTGAAAGATTGTAAGAATGGCAGTGGTACTGTCTTTGAAATTCCGCTTAAATGTCAATATCTGAAACACAAGACAATGGGGCATCTTTTCTCTGTTCCATTTTGGAGGGAAAATGTCAAGCTCAGTTTCATTTGGAAAGATGGCTTCATCATTGCTCATGGCTTCCGAATTACCTAATATATTAACAGTGTGGGGAACGCATTTGGATGACAGGTTCAGTGTAACTAATTGGCTGGAATGGAGTCAGATTGTAATCTTATAGCTGTTATCTTTGATTTATGTGCACATGTGTTCAATTACGGAGGCTCATTACGACCACACACTGATTAGTGATCACAGCACATGACGTGATTTGTGAGAGCTGACATGCTCGTGGTTTTTTGGAGCATGTCCACTGGTCAGCTGTAAGAACGGGGAACTAAGTTTTTACCAATTGATGCCATGTGTGCTCTTTTAATAACTATTGTCGTTGTTTAAAGATATTTGCTGTTTCCATATTTCCTGATTTTCAATACCCATTCCTGCTGAGGTTAACTTCCATGTCTCATTGTACGGTGGTGGATCTCCTTGTAACTCACTCTACCTAGGCATCCTATCTATTGAGGGGAAAGTTGCTATGTATGAGGGTCCTTGCCTAGACACTACCCCTGCTTTGCTTTTGTCATTTTTAGTTGAGGTAGTAACCCAGCCTCAGTGGCTTTTCATTTCTCTTGGACTCTGGCAGGCCCCTAAGCAGGGAGGAGGGAATCTGGATGGACAGCTCTGCTCCTCTCTGCTCCCCTCTCGAGTCGATAGCAGCCAGCAGGTAAGGCTCTGTCTCCGTCTGCAGCGTGGCAAACACTTATTAGTGGTAATGTACTCCCATCATCCATCTCCAGGTGGGCTTCCGTCATTGATCTCAACGCCAAGGCTTGTCACTAGCTGCTCCTCACACAGTGAAAGCTCTGGTCGCCGGCAGCACTCGCTTTAGATTACCCAGCTTAATGTTCAGTCGATAGACTCGTGGTTGGACAGCCGGCATTAGAAGAGTGAGGTGACTTGCACAGCAGTGTGACAGATTTTCCCCACTGTGGTCTTCAATACCTAAATTCAGCCTGGACAAACAATATGACGCACAGAGGTTTATGAAACATGAGATATTACTGTCCGATAATCATCCTCGAATGGCGGTGAGTTCAGATGACATCACTCAATAGGAGAAATTACATCTATGTTCTCTTTCAGTTAGTTAGCAAGGACTAATACAGTGAAATGGGATGAATCTTTCTTTGACTCTAAGGCCATGTTCAATACGGTCCTCTCATTTATTTGAATGGAGCCAATGCAGGGAGCTCTGGCAAAAAAACACTGGGGTGTTTGGCAAAAAGTTGATCATATCTTCAGAAGGATATACGATATTAGCCACTAAATACAGAGACAAAGAGAAGCAATATCTTGGAACTGGACAGTTTAGTGCTTGTTACTACTAACACACTGAACTATTTAATACATAGAAGCTTACATGATTTATTTTCATCCCAATTTGTATTCCATATTTAATTGGACCAGGTCATGGAAGCTTGACTAAATGTTTAATGTTTTTTGGGCACTTGGTCGACCTGGTTCAGTAGTTTAACCAATGGAGAATTAAATTCGGGTCTCTCCCCAAAGACCTTATCAGATGCCAGTGAAATGAGGCCATCTGTTGGGAGTGTGTTAGTGAAGTGGCCATACTGCAAACAGACAACTCTATGCAAATGAGTTCAGTTGTTTCTCTAACTGCAGTTGTACTTGAGACTGATGATCATGATTAGGGTTTACTTCATAGCCATGTTAGCTTAGCATTATTTTTCATAACAATTAAAGTTAGTGAATTTGTTCTTGTGTTTATGATATCCTCGTTCAGTATGTAACAATGCCAGAATTACACTCTGTTTTACTCCAGTGTTAACAAGCATTAAAGATATAAACAATTCAATTGAACCAGAATTGATCAATGCCAGGCATTTGGACCAGAGATTAAACAAAAAGTGACATATCACCTCATACCAGTTGCAGTTTAGGTAGCCTGCCATTTTATTGAGATATTGTCAAGTGAGCAACATCTGTGATTGAATTGGCCCTCAACATCTGATTCACACTGCAAGCCATTTCACTCAATTCAGATTTTTGATCTGTTCACATTATTTGTTAAATGTTGATTCCAGTGTGAACAAGTCACGGCCCTGAAATGACCTGCATGATGGATGTAGATCTAGAGTGATGTAAAAGTCACAGGAATTCTTATATGACTTTACACACTGAGGTAACATTGCAAAAAAATACTTGCATCAAGGAATTGAAGTAATAAGCTGCATCCCAAGACCATACTACATACTAATTCGAACAAGGTTCCAAGTGTGTTTCAAAGTTTAGTTACACTGAAACAGTGACAAAATTAGTAGACTTTAAAAGTTAGTATCCATTCTTATTTGGAGCACAGCAACATACAAGATAGGTTGTATTATATATATATAATATTAGATAATGTGGAATTCAGAAGTAACTAAATTCTGGAAGGTTGCACAGTGCCATCAGGCTGTACTGTATTTGTTCTGTTTTACTTGATGCTGTGTGCTGTAAAACATCATATCATAAAAAAATCTACATATAAATATTCACCCCAACAGCTACACAACATTATACTTTTACTGTGATGGCCTCATTTTTCTGTGGCCATTGTACCATACTGTGCCACCAAAATAACTTAATTAGCCACACAAGGCTTCAGCTTTAACAGAAAACACTGACACAATTAGATATAATTGTTTGAGGTTTATTTATTTATGGACTTGAATATCAGTTTTTGCTACACCACAGTTTTATTACAATTTAAATTGGCCTCTATCAACAAAATATTGTTGTAGCCTAAAAAAATAAATAAGCCTTTTTGTTTTCCTTTTAATAATGAGAAACATATTAGTTTTTACTGAACATTCATTGAATATTATACAATAATGACTTAATAAAACACTATATTTTCCCTGTCAATAGAGTGTAACACATTAATTACCATTCGCAGAAACGTTATCATGGATGAGTGTAACGTTAATTTATCAGGCCATAATAATACTATACTCTGGAACAATACTGTAAATATAACAGCCTGATTTACTCACAGGGATTATTAGTTACATTTTATGAATGAGACAAAGGGAAAACTCACTGAATAACACATAACAAGTATTACATTCTTTTACATGTATCACTGAGATTAGACAGCAAACACCAAGTACAAACCGATCAAATTAACATCAGAGGTACACACAATACAAACACGGAACACTTACAGAATATCACATCCGGCAGGAATGATGGAAAACAGTTTGCATCACTTTATTTTAAGGCATTTTTGTTACTTATGTGTACCCTTTACCAGTAATTTAATATATCATTATATAAGCTTTTCATGTGAACATACAGTATAAAAATACAGTTAGTATGTAAGAATAAACATGCATGTCTGTCGCTTATAGTCTTTTCTTGATCTACATGGTTCACATTCACTTTGGCTGATGATAAATAGATACATGACAAACAAGTGTCATCTGGACACAGGACAACAACATCCTCACATTTTCACCACTGATTCGATTTGATGTAACATGACAGATTAAAACAAGACTGATACAAATATACTTTGTCGAATAATTCACAGCACATTTTAAATCGATATTTTGGACCAAAACAGCAGATTGCCAATTTATTCTAATGTTACAGATATTATCCGGTATCTTTGAATATCAAAAATAGCAACTATAGTTAATTTAATATTAAATAAGCTTCATGCATCTAATATTGATTTGGTAAATTGCACATATACCCTCACTTCACTTGCCATTTTATTATTGCACAACTTACACTATGACAATACACCCCTACCCTTATTCTACCTCTAAGTGCAAATAAAAATTACATGAACATAGTGGTTTGCCTCAGTGACCACTGGACTGTATTTTGCTTATAAAGTAGCACTCATTACACTTATTAACTATTGCCATAATATAGAACACATACATACAGTACAACTAGATGACTTCAAATGTGCCACTGAAACCATATCATGTTTTCCCTTTAAACACATTACTTAGAATCAGTCCTCTACATTTACAGTTCAGTTATTCATTCATATCTTTATGTAAATATCTTAAAATGCCTCATCAGACAGACTTTACATACACACAACCTCTTTGGCAACCTTATGGTGTCAGTGGAATCAAAAATTGCACATAACTGCTGAAGAGTAAAAAATAACTTTAGCACATTAAAATGAATATTATAGTATCCAGTCTATTGAACACACAAAGTGAAACAGGTTGGCAGGATCACATTTGCAGGATGTCATAATTGTTATAAGTCACTTAAATATACTGTTTGATTTTATTTTTTTTACAGAATCCTGTCATGTCTATTACGTTACTACTCTATGTACATTGGGATCACTCAGTTCACTCTCTGATAGAGGATAGTTTCCCTATCATATCAGTGCTACAAAGTGGGCATGGCTTCAGTTTCCTAAAGGCAGCAGACCAGTTACTCTCAGTCTACTGAGTCAAGCAGGATCAATGTTGGACCCGAAATCATTCTAATGTCTACACACACTATCAAAGAAAACTGTTTTCCAGTTTTCATTCACATTTTTTAATATTTACATACTGTTTATGAACTTTAAGGCTTTGTATTTTGTTGTTAAAGGAACACTATTACACAGACAACAAAGACACACGAAGGCCTCTCAACTACTGAGTCTAAAGCTAAAGTCTAAGTCTAAGAGTGTTGAGTGAAGCAGCTGAGTGGGCGTGCTTCCTCAGTATGGCTTACTTCCCTGATTTATGAGGCTGGCCGGCTCCCTGGCTGCAATCAGCCAGTTTGGTAGCTGCAGCACTGCCTCTATTGCACAGATCCCTGATTTCCAGGAGGCCCTCGTTCAGGACTTTGACGAAAACGGCCGAGCTCGTCCCTGTGTTCTCCCAGAAACTAGACACACAGAAGATGATGTGGTCTGACTGCGGGTTGTAACATGCGCCATAGCCGTTGGGCACTACCGGGCCGTAGCAACAGAACATTTCTACTGTGGTAGGGACCTGGATACAAGAGGAGACAGTCTGAGTTAGAGCAGTTTAGCCAGTCAAGAGAAGGAGCTAGAATTTGAGAAAAAATAATCAGAAAAGTGCTACAGCTAACAATTTCTATTATTGCTTTATCTATTGATTCTTTTTTTGATTAATCATTTCTATCTATAAACTGCCAGAAAATAAAGACACAAACAAATGCTCATTACAAGTTCCCAGAGCCCAAGGTGACATCTTCATAGTAGTCATATTGTGTTTGCTATTATATAAAATAGAAACATGAGTAAATTCCCACATTTTACTAGTTGAAAGCAACAAATGGTTGGCCTTTGTTCTTAGTCAATTATCTAAAATTAATTAATTAACTAAGCTCTAAAGTAGATTTTCTACCCAGTAGCAAATGAGTTTTAATACTCTAATATGCGTTTACATCCCAACACATTCATCGACTACTGTTTACACCCTGCAGGTGTTACAGCGGTAAAAATCTTTCATTTGAGTCAGATGCTCTTTGTTTTGCTACCAGAAATTGGAAAAGTGAACCAAAGTTTTAGTCATATCATAACCATTTCATGCACTTATACAATCACTTGTCAGTCAGTTGAATAACAATGCAGCTGTCAGGTTCTGTGAATGTATAGTGTAGTCAGTATATGTACTTCATATCATTTATGTATATGCCTTAAGCAATTTATATAAGTAAAAAAAATCTTATTTTACATGTGGGGTTCAAGTGCTGTCAACTAAAGGTACATACAGATGGTCTAAGTGAATAAACTCAGTGCCAGGGGCGGTAGATGAGTCTGACAGGGTCTCCAATTAAAAAGACTAACAGGAAGCACAGAGCCCTCACTGCGGCTCCCAAACACCAGCATAAACTAAATATTTTTTAATTAGTCTTCATTTTGTAAAGTTTTGTTGTGTTGCAAGTTCACTTTTGCAGTTTCAGATCCTGTTAAAATAATACAGTCTCCAAGCACCTTATATGTTTTATCTGTTCACTGCACCTTATATTTTTACTTTGCACTAACAATTATACCTGCTTTATTTATCCATTTATAATTTCTAATATAGAAATTAGCATTTTGATATTGCTTTTTTATTGTCTAGCGTTGTTCTCTTTTACTTATTTTTAATAGAAAAGTAAGTTAAAAGATGACTGCAATAAAACTCCGGCAAAAACACATCAGACTAACAAACTAATGAATTAAGGATAAAGAATAAAATATAATTTAGACAGAATAGAAAAAAAACAAAATAATAAGATCAAAGAGACTCATATAGGGAAAAGAAATATATAAAAATATTAATAATATAAAGGAATGAAGCAACAAAAAAACTACATAGGTATTGCGATAAAAAGGAAAAGAAAAGGATATAGAAAAACATAATTATATAATACACAGGTGATGACAAATAATAGTACTATGACACTGTCACAGCGAAACCAATGAGATGAAATAAAACAAAAATACCAAATACAATATATACATTACCACGATAATATAACAAAAAGAAAGATACAAAAATAATAAACATATAGAAATAAGAATGAAATAGGAAGTAAATCGAAAATAAATAAAAAAGCTATTACATGATATAGGATAAAGACTAAAGAAATAAAAAAGAAAGTTAAAAGCATATATATGAAAAACAGCATATAAATAATAAAAAATAAAAAGCAACGCCAAGTGAATATCCTCCACCCAGACGGTGTATGATGCCTCTGTCATATAAAATAACTAATACATACTTATACTCCGAAAAAATGAATCCAACAGACAGTTCCTCTTCTTTTCCCTCCCTCTGGCAGCAGTTGCTCTTCCTGTTTCATTAGATCTGTCTACAGGCAGAACTTGATGATGTGGGTGTGTGACATTATATTCATCATAATACGTATTGTACAGATCGACTTGAACGAATGAGATTTCTTTGTGAGGAAGCGTTATATGCCTTAAATAGACATGGATCACTTTGTTCCTGACTAGTAGAAAGGTAACTGGTTACGGCCAAATATGTCTCATCACGCAGAGACTGCTCTGGCTTCGTCTCATGTTAGCTCCTTTGAGATCCTCAGAAGCCCGAGGAGATGATTTCTATTCATTCTGTAATAGCCTGAAAAGAATATTTTTTTGCTTAGTGTTACTTAGGGACCAGTCAATATGAGCACGCGAAGTAATTCCAGGCCGCAGTTCATGTTTTGTGACAGTACTCTTTCACCACCTGGGTTGCAGTGTAGACCCACAAACCATCGTGGAGCTGTGAAGGATTTTGAATGATACCCCTCTTCTTTAAGTACAACCACCAGATATATATATTCTACTTTGCATCTTATTGGCATTAAAAGTCATTAAGACCCTTCGACTGGCCGCACTGCTGCCCGTCGTGCTCGCACCGGATGATAAACAAAATTTTGCTTAACCCTGCTTCTAAGGAATGCGGCTCTATCGTGGCTTTCTCCTCACTTCCATGTATATTGTCAGATCGCGGACCAAGTACGTGCTCTCATATCATATGCGGTTCCAGAATACTGAAACTCCCAGGCCAGAGGAACAGCTTGCTTAGCTTAACAAAAGAACTGGAATGGCGGAACACAGCTGCCTGACTCGTGTGCCTCCTTCCCGGAGGTTTCCTCTGGTTGGCCTTGCGACTCTTAGATTCGAAGGGCACAGGAAGTCTAACTAACCTCACTTATTTTAATCAAACCATCGATTTACTCCTAAACCTCGGCCACTGGGCCGCAAGAAGTAGTCCACAAACACAAATTAGATATACGTAGCTGCTTAGTTTGGATCGGTCCAAACAAACAACATAACACTAATATGATAATTCCAGAGAATTTCACTAAGTCTAGCAAGCTTTGCTGTTTCGCCTCTGTCTTCGCATCTCTTGTGTACATAAGGCTAACTACTGGCCCCGTCTGGGCTGGCTAAGCTGTTATATTGTACCTCGTACAGAGCATCTAGCAGTGTATCGCAGTCTCTTTTCCCTCTAAGGAAGAAGTGCACTATTTACCACTTCTGGTGGAAACATTGATCCGTTTAAAGCATTTAAATTCTAGCTGTCAAACATCATGATAA